CTTCTACGACAGTTTTCATGTAGTTTGCGGCCATTTTCTACTGGCCAGCGTGAGAGCCAACAGCTGACTGACACGAATGTTAACTAGCATGCTAGCATGCAAAAAAAACATCGATAGCTGCATTCGTCACAAGTGGGAAAAATTTAAATCTGCATGGCACTTTATTCCAACTGGTTCATTCGCTTGCTTAACGTTGATTCTGATTCCGCAGAACTGGGTTGAGTGTGAAAAAGTATTTGTTGTTAACGTTCTTTTTTCATTCGGTTTTTCCAGTTACGAGTCCTTTTCTAAAGCTGATCGTTTTGTGTTCATTTTGTTTAGTTCTTTTTTCGTAACAGATTTAATGTTTAGAGCTTAGAAAAATTCGCAGTGTGAGAAGTAAGGCATGTAGCAACATCAGCACGGCAAAGGGCACTCCTTTAAAGGCAAGGAAGGGCAAAAATATTTTAAGTCAAGTGATAGCGATTGCTGTATGAGTCGTAAGATTTTTGAATCAAGCACGGGCAACCCCGAGCCATTCTGCTAGTATCATTTAATTTAATTTCAGCTCATTCATTAATCTCCTTGCGAAGCACTGCGTCACAACTCGACCTTAACAGGAGTAATCATCATTTATATGACATTTCCTTTCCGGAATTTGGTGGTAATAGATCTCCACAATTTCCTCTCACTTGTCCCTTGACGCTTTACCATACTTTGTCTCTTCTCTGATATTTATCCACGCAAAATCCTTGGGTATGTTGCCCGACGTTTCCCTCTTCTCTCCCTTCCTCTAATACGCCCTGCGAGTATTTAATTCTCTGAGCCATCTTTACCCATAATCTCTCCAAGAAGTTCTAAGTGCCTGTTTCTAACTTTAAATATGAATATCTTACTATTTTGTAGATTCTTTGGAACTTCCTCGTTGATCACATGTTTTGTCCATGGAATTCTCAGAATCCTTCTGTAGACTTGGATCTCTATCGTTCCAAAGCTTTTTCTTCATCTGTAAGGAAATGGAATTTATCCAGCATTCACTGACATACAAATAGTCGTTATCAGAGTACTAGTAACAGTCCCGAATATCATAGGGAAAAAACTACTGGAACTGGGAATAAGGAGAAAAACCGAAACCATCTAGATGACAACAGTGTTAAGAATAGCTAGAATACTGAGGAGAGTCCTGGTGGTGCAGACTCGTCTTGCTCTACTTAAAGTAAGTTCTCCTAGTTCCTTGTCATCAGCATTTTTGTATCGAGTCTCTTGGGCGATTAAGGATCTCCCCAACTCCTTGCCTCTTTTAGTTCTGAGCAACGTTTGATTGTCTCTGTTTTTTCAGCCATTCACGCAAACTTTTAGGTAAGTTTCTTACTCTTTTTCTTCACCATTCCTTCCCTCGGATTTTTTTGTGAGTATTATATTTTTCAAGCCTTCCTTCCTTCCTTAAAATGTGTCCCGGGAATTTCCTCATTGCTCAAATGTTCTGTGAATGACATTCTCAGAATCCAAGCGTAGGATAGCATCTCTGTCGTTCTCTTCTTCATCTGTAAGGAAACTGTCAAGCATTCACTGATATACAGGAGGATAGACGCGATATATGAGTTCGACACTTTTTGTTTCTAAAGAAATATTGCTAGTGTCAATGCTAATAACCGTTTCCTAATAAGGAAACAATTAGCATTGGCTGGCTGGGCAGTTTTAATATGTCTTAATACTTTGCTTGGTTTTACGAATGGATTCTTTCCCTATTCTGACCTGCCTTTGAATTTCGGTGTCATATTTTCCGCAAGTCTGTTACTACACTCCCCAGAAATAGAAATTACTCTATCTGCTTGTCCTCAGTTCAGAGCTTACACATTTGGTGGCCTCTTTTACTGATGATCATATATTATTTCGTATTTTTAATGCTTAGTCCTTTCATCTTGCATTTCTTTACAACCTTTTCTAGAAGTTTTCCAAGTTTTTCTTTTTTGAGCACACCAGGAGTAGAGTTTCATCTGCACGTCTTGTTGGAATTTTTGGGTACCCTGGTGTACTAGTGAGCCAGCCAAAATGAGCTGACTCATTTTATAGTTCACCAATAGAAGGGTTAACCAATCAGAAGGCTCAAAATATTCAATGCGACGTGTATAAAGGCGGCCATGTTTTTCCCGATTATACACAGCCAGCCTTTGATATCGAAGACTGAAGCATTTTGGAACAGCTGCTGGTGGTATTGACGATATAGTCAGATTCAGTAGAGTGTCTGACTCGTGAGTGTTAATCTTTAACGTTGTTTCATTGAACAGATTAAGTACTGCGCTGTATTCTATATTCATAGACTATGGTGAACATGGTCAACAAAGGTTATGAGCCCAGATTACGACTGTATTTTGACGGAGACGAGTCAAAATACGAATTGTGGGAAGTGAAGTTCCTAGGCTACCTTAGAATACAAAAACTTCATGGTCAACACGTCTTTCCTTGTTGCTGATATGATCACCGATGTTAAATCCTGGTAGGACTCCTAGTTCTCTTAAGATCATCTCGTTGTCTAAATTAAATTGATCCGGCGAGAAAACGCATCCTTATCCACCCCGAGATCTATCTTTGTTTAGTTAAGCAAGTTTTTCGTCAGCATATAGATGTTTGATTTTGTTTATTTATTTTGTTGTTGTTGTTGTTGTTCCTTTTAGGGGGCGGTCCAGTAAATGTGGGAGAGAAAGATCCACGTGATTTTGACAAATGCACGAGAAAACTCCTTGGCATCTATTGAGAACATGAAATCAATGAGTTTGTACGGAAAAGGTGTTGAAAGTTTCGTAGGCCACCAGGAACCTCTTCTCGCCACTGTGAAACGGAAGAAAATGGCGTAGTTTGGACACGTTACATGGCACGACAATCTGTACAAGATCATCATGCAAGACATCGTTGAATGTGAAAGCAGGGGAGGACGCCAACACACAAAAAAAACTGGTTGGACAATGTCAAACAATGGACAAATATAACTATGCCAGAATTGCTGATGGCTGCCGTCAATACACCGTTGTGTAGGAGATTTAGTGTGGCTTCTGCATTCGTATCCCCCCCTTACGATTATAAAAGTTAAATGGATGATGAAATATTGTGGATTATCTTGATGTTTTTCTCATGTAAATCGCGCTTGTCTGGTATTTGAAAATAGTTTTCGTGTTCATTATTTACATTATTCGGACTATTTTCTTCATCTTTGTCGCCATATTTATTACAACGTTGTACGCTCCGGCCTTCTTCAGGTGGTTGGAATGTCAAACGGGACCCTTTATTTCGCTCATTTGCTTAGACTGTTCTAGTTCCACGTGCCATGTTTTAATGGATGTCAGTTATCTCCTGTTAATTTCCCTCTGAAAGTTCTCCACTGTCTTAGCCGGGTATTGAAATTACACTCTTTGGGTCCTGTCACTCAACGCCTTTATCCACTGTGTCATGTGTCCTTGAGGACATCTGTGTATGCATTTCTGGGTATTATAAACCTAATGTCTTCTGCAACCATTTTTACCAGTGCTCATATTGCAAATTTTGCTGTTATCATTCATGTTTTTACCAGAGCTCATATTGCAATTTTTGTTGTTATTATCGCTTTTCTCTGGCACTCCTTATTACTGGTCCCCATATTGTATTCATTTCTATGCTTAGTCGGCTCAGAAGATTTGTGTGGCCTAGCATATGTGCTGATTCCTTAAGTTTACGAATTTTCCAATGGTGTTTTATTTTTGTCTATGATCTTAACCTGATCCCACAGAGGGCGGTGATCTCCCTTCTCTCTCCATATGTGGTCAGCAACGCCTGATATTTCCACTTCCCCTCGTGTTACAGCTTTTTGGTGTTCTTGAAGCCTTACCTGCGGCCTTTATATTTCTTTCCGAAGCTGCACGGGATAGCGTACACACAGTCTTTAGTCATGTTCTCCTCTATGGTGGGGGTTTTACTCGGGAGAGATAAGTGTCGTCAAGCTTTTGAAGGTTGTCCTAATGTTATATGGACCGCAGATCCTTTGTATTTTCTCTGATAACCCCTTCACATGAGGCAAGCAGGCTGTTTTCTGAGTATTGTTGTCCTCCTCTTGTACCTGCCTATCCCAGTTTTGGGGGGCTGCTGCCATGTACCCAGGGTAGTTGTTACGTTGTAGGGTACTACTTATACCGACCAATTCTTTATCTAATGTCTCTGAGTCGCCAGTTTTGACTTTTTTTCGGTGTTGTAATTAGAGGACGATCCCTTTCTTTACGCTGTATGGATGGTAGGAGTTGAAATTGATGTACTGTCCGGTGAATGACATACTGTCCGGTGAATGAGTACGGTATATGGATGTCTTGAACCCACGCTCTTATTGAGTTCACATGGTCCAGTAGAACCTGAAATAATATGTAATAAATATGGCGACAAAGATGAGGACAATAGTCCGAATAATGTAAATAATGAACATAATACCTCATCGCAGAAATATAGACAGTTTTCGTGTTTATTAAATGCTTCTGGGTAATCTAAGGGCTATAGGCATATCCTTTTTGCAATTTTCACTCTGATAGCATTTTGTTTATAAAGATAGCCTTTCTTGTTCCAGTACTTGGAACAAAACAACATTGATCCTTCCCTTTTTCTTCTGTGATATCTCTTCATTAAAATTCTAATTGTGTGCTTAGTAATGTGTATCAGATTCGCAAAAACTCGTTTCTAAAGCTAAAATAGTACGAAGTAACAGGAAATTAGAAAAGAATCTTTAATATCAATCCTCTTGTATGGCAGCGAATGTTGGACAAACTCACTACAGAGGAAGGTGAAAAAAGAGGCAACAAAAATATGGTTCTACAGAAGTATACTGAGAATTCCACGGACTGGGTAAGCGAAGAGGTAATCTTAACTTTAACTGTACCCATGCAGGAACATTGAAGACCTGAATAAACTCTATTGACACTTGTAAGATTTCCCTAATATTACGCAAAATTTAACGTTGGAAACTATTGCTTCGATATAATATTGTTCTTGTTCTCGTCTTGTTCTACAGAAGAAGAAGAAAGAAGAGAGAAGGAGAGGAGGAAGAAGAAGGGGAGGAAGAAAAGGGGAAGAAGGGAGAAGGAGAGGAGGAAGAAGAAGAAGAAGGGGAGGAAGAAAAGGGGAAGAAGAAAGAAGGAGAGGAGGAGGAAGAAGAAAGGGAAGAAGAAAAGGGGAAGAAGAAAGAAGGAGAGGAGGAGAAAGAAGAAGGGGAGGAAGAAAAGGGGAAGAAGAAAAAAGAGGAGGAGGAGGAAGAAGAAGGTGAGGAAGAAAAGGGGAAGAAGAGAGAAGGAGAGGAGGAAGAAGAAGAAGAAGGGGAGAAAGAAAAGGTGAAGAAGAAGAACGGGAGGAAAAAAAGGGGAAGAAGAAGAACGGGAGGAAGAAAAGGGGAAGAAGAGAGAAGAGGAGGAGGAATAAGAAGAAGAGGAGGACAAAAGGGGAAGAAGAGGAGGGAGAAGAAGAAGGGGAGGAAGAAAAGAAGAAGAAGAGAGAAGGAGAGTAGGAAGAAGAGAGAAGAGGAGGAAGAAAAGGGAAGAAGAGAGAATGAGAGGAGGAAGAAGAAGAAGAAGAAGGGGAGGAAGAAAAGGGGAAGAAGAAAGGAGAGGAGGAAGAAGAAGAAGAGGAGGAAGAAAAGGGGAAGAAGAGAGAAGAAGAGAAGGAAGAAGAAGAGGAGGAGGAAGAAAAGGGGAAGAAGAAAGAAGGAGAGGAGGAAGAAGAGAGAATGAGAGGAGGAACAAGAAGAAGGGGAGGAAGAAAAGGGGAAGAAGAGAGAAGGAGAGGAAAATGAAGACGAAGAAGAAGTGGAGGAAGAAAAGGGGAAGAAGAGAGAAGAAGGGGAGGAAGAACAGGGGAAGAAGAGAGAAGGAGAGGAGGAAGAAGAAGAAGAGGAGGAAGAAAAGTGGAAGAAGAGAGAACAGGAGGAGAAAGAAGAAGAAGGGGAGGAAAAAAGGGGAAGAAGAAAGGAGGAAGAAGACAGAAATGGAGGAAGAATAAGGATAGAAGAGGGAATGAGAGGAGGAAGAAGAAGAAGGGGAGGAAGAAAAAGGGAAGAAGAAGAAGAAGGGGAGGAAGAAAAGGGGAAGAAGAGAGGAAGAAGAAGAAGAAAAAGAAAGGCAACATAGAAACAATGAGAGAGAATTAAGGACAGATGAAGAAAAGAGTGTGGAAGAAGAAGAAGAAGAAGAGGAGGAGAAAGAGGAGGATGTTAATGATTAATAAGAATAAAAGAAGGAGGGGACAAAGACACAATGGAAGAGAATTATGGGAATACAAAGAAGAAGAAGAAGAAGAAGATCCCTTGAACAACTTATCTTAAACAATAGAGAACCAGCCGAAGTAAAATCAGGAATCTATCATGTTGGTTTCAAATGATTGGGCAAAATCAATAAATCAATTGTTCGTTTCTCGAAACCAATTATTGATTCCTTCCCATTTTCTTTTTATTTCTGTGTAAAGACTTTATTTGTCTGCGAAAATAATATATTGTAATCAAGAATGATAGAGATTGGCTTCTTCAGAAGACACAAGAGAAAAGAGTTGTCAATAAAAAATAATTTTGAAAGCGAGAATATAAAAAGAACGAGTGCTTGCCGTAGAGCATTGCTTAACTATTTAATCTTCAAGATGTCGGCTTTCCATATAGACATCGGTTGGTTCCACCTCCTAAAATTTGGCTAATGACCAAATATAAATAAATGAGTTTGCTTTTGTAAAAAAATGACTAAAATAACTTTTTCTAATATGGTAGTGAGGGCGAAAACATTTCAGCGACCCCTTATAGACTGGTGCAGGACAAATGAATACCGCCAACTCAACACCATCGACTGAGTACCAGGACAACTCTGGATTGAAACAACTCAGGACCGAAACAACTTTTTTTTAATAACCGATATTAAGGATTAAAAACTTAATTAGAGAATATTTTCGTCAAATAAGGCATTTGAAAATGCATTATGTAAAATATGAACCGGCTTTTTTTGTTTTTTTAATTATTTTTAATAAAGTTAATCGTAAAGAAATTTAATTTTTCAATAGAGTAAATTGATATATAAAAAATAATTCAATAAAACACGGTAGATGAACAGTTGCCTAGTGGACATTGGCGTCCCGGACAATGGCGTCCCTGGATATTTGCGTCTCTGGATAATGGCGTACCTTTGATAATTTTTTGAAGTTACCTTTTTTCAAAGAGTTGTTTAATATAGAAATCTGCACACCAATACCCTTAATTACTCTAAACAAGCAGAAAGTTTGCATAAATAAAAAAGAGAGATAAATTTATTTTTTAAAGCAATAGAAAATTAAGCTAGCAGTTTCATTTCACTCCAGCAGTACGTGTACCACAAACATCTAATAGATTTTGGATTTTATAGATTATATTTTTATTTGGAACACATGGCTAAATTACGAAATTCAAACACTGGTGGAAAAATATTTGTGGACGGGGAAAATTACAACTAGCATTATCATAAGAAAAACTCCGATGAAACAAATACATACTAGCGATGTGTAATGCGATTTGAAACACTTTTAATATTTTATTGTATTTTAAACAAAAATAAACTTTTATTTTTTTATTTTATTCTATTTTTAAAAAATTATGATTACTACTTACGATTTTTTTTTCAAAATTTATGGTAATTGCCTTTAAAAGATTCAAAAAATTATTACTTGTCTATGGATGCAAATATCCAGGGTGGAAATTGTGTGATACACAAATGTCCACTACGTAACTGTATTTGAAACAATAAACACCCTTGATTTTAATTTTTATTTAATAAAGTAAATCGAAAATACAAAAAAAAAAAAACGAAACAGATTTTTTTAAAATTATTTTCAATAAAGTAAATCGTAATGTAATTTGTTTTTAATAAGATAAATCGACAATCTAAAAAAATAATTTAATAATTTACGTTTGGTTTGGTTGGTTTTGTTTTACGCCATTTTTATTGCTAGTAATTTTTTTTTTTCAAAAATGTATTGCTGGTAATATTTTTTTCAAAAATGTATAGTTGGTAATATCTTTTTTTCAAAAATGTATTGCTGCTAATTTTTTTTTTTTTTCAAAATTGTATAGCTGGTAATATTTTTTTTTCAAAAATGTATTGCTGGTAATATTTTTTTTTCAAAAATATATTGCTGGTAATAATTTTTAGAAAAATGTATTTCTGTTATTAAAACTTATTTCTACACTTTATTAGTGTTTTGACTCCAGTTTGATGGTTAACTATTTGCCCATAGCAAGGACCCTGACATGCTACCACACCTCAAAACCTCCTGATCAGAAGCCTTACTGTCGAATGTAGTTTATCATGTTACCCAAGACGGAATAATTTACGATTTATTTTATTAAAAATAATTAAAAACAAAAAAAAAATGATTCTTATTATGCATAATGCCTCTTGTTAGCTTATCTTTCCTCTGAGCTGAGGGGAAACCTGGCTAGTAACATTCAATGCCTCAAAAACCAACCTAATGATCTGCCACTATTTACCGATCTAGCCCAGAACTTTCACCAATCATGATGTATGGATTTTCCCTCGGAAAACTTAAACTCAGCTAAGTGGAACTCGCTAAAGATGCTATTAAAATGGTTGGTTCCCCGAAGCACTTTCAGTAAGTACCTGACTTCTCCTACTATCCTTTACCCTCACAAAAATCTGATCAGGACGAAAATGAAGTACTGCTGTCATATATGGACGGGAGCCGGCCAGTCTTTTCTTTCCACTCGATAGAGTCCAAAATCGTCTCATATTTTTAGGCGATGAATTATTTTCCATTCTGAAACGCTTTTCTCACAGACGAAATGTCCCAAGACTCTCGCTGCTCTATTGCCATGAAGAGTGTCCCGATGAACCGTCCTCAACTTCACAGTCCTCATCTTCACAGATAAAACCCGCTATGCCACGCACATTGTGGCGAACCAACCCCATTCCGTTCATATTCCCCTGCTCAGATGTAAGCTTCGACTCGAGTAACAGTTTCCCACAAACCATGCCTAGTGAAACCAACTCCCAAGAAGATGCTTCCCCGATCACTACAATCTTAACCTGTTCAAGCCTATGGTTAACCATTATATTCTGCACATATCCATATAAACTGTGCCGCTTATTCTGTAATCCGCTATCTTGAGTGGCTCCCTAGCCTTTTACAGGGTGAACACCATTAAAATAATGCTAATATATATTTTATATACAACGCTGTTAAAATATATACACAATAAAAGCAATACCTAAAACAAAAAAAAAGGTACCTACCGTAGAGTTGTGGCCGGATTTTGATCTGACAGATCAAATACGGGTCTACGATGCTTGACTGAAAAATTCATAGGCTGACCAAGATATTCTTATGGAATGTGACCAAATGAGGCTTATTTTTCAACAGAGTACCCCTAGCGGTTCACACACTTCTTCCATCGGTGTTGCAGTCTATTGGTGAAGAAGCTTTCATCTGTTGGGCAAGAAAGTCATCAGCAGCAGATATGACGTTATAATGACTGTGATACTGGTTCCCAGCCATGTTTTTTTTTCATGTTGGGGAACAGATGATAGCCAGAATATGACAAATCAGGTGAATAGGCTGAGTGATCAACCAGTTAAGAGCCATATTCACGCACAACGTTCATTTAAATCATGGATTTGTATGTGAAGAATTGTCCTGATAAAACAAGACTCCTTTCGTCAGTTTTCCTGATGTCTGATCTTGATAGTCTTTTAGACCTGCCTCAGCAAGTTGGCATACTTCTCTCCATTGCCCTTTTGAAGATAGTCAATAAAAAATGTCTTTTGCATCCCAAGAATTTCCCTGTAATGAAAAGACATTGGCCTTTTTAGGAGTCGGCGAGGAGGAGTTTTCCCCCCTGCAGGGATTATCTTTTTGTCTCTGAATCAGTGAGGAACCTAACACTCATCCTGGGCTAGGAATCGTTTAAGAAAACCAGCTGCATTTGCCTCAACAAATGTCAGATTTTCCCATGATGTGATCAAACTGACTCAAGTGACAAAAGACGTGGTCCCCATCGGGAAGAATCCTTCCTCATGCTAAGTCCATTGTGCAAAATATTCTTAGCTCTTTCACGGGATATGCTAATAACATTAGCTGTTTGATTTATATTCAGTCACTTATCATCAATTACCATAGGGCGAACATGATCAATGTTTTGCTCGGTGATAGCAGTTGCAAGATGTCCTTCAAGACTGTTTTCCCTGCTTAAATTCAGCTGCCTACCTTTGCACTGTTGATAAAGCCGGGTCGCCATCCCCTACTGTAGTAACCATATTAGCATGAATGTCCTTGTGAGCAAAACCGTTTTTCTGCAGGTATTGATAGCAACACGATGCTAAATTTTGTCCATTTTCAAATAAAGTCGCTACTAGTTACTTTTGAAGTCTTCATTGAACAGACAGACTCCAGCGTACCTGGAAAGAAACAAGGCAGTCATTGATAAGAAGTGTCGAAATTAATACCTGCAGGTTTTGACAGCTCTAGCATCACTCCTTTATAGTCAGCCTATGAATTTACTACCGATCCTCGTAATTCCAACGTTAGGATACAGAGTTCCTCTCTACTAGCTGGCGCATTATTACGCTTAGGTAGAAGACCTTTTAAAAAATCCCCTCTATTAGAAAATTAAAAATACAATTTTACATACAAAAAAAACATTTGTCAGTCACGTATATAGTCTTTATTGTTTTTAAAAACCATCTGCCATCTTCCTAGAAACTTCGTGATTTATTTCGAAGAAGTTTGTGAGGTAGTTTTTGATTGACTGTACTGAGTCAATTTTTGTCATTTAAATTGTTCTGTTGTGATTGAAACAAATGAAAATCTCTGGAAATAGCAAGAGAAAGAAAGGACGAAAGTTTTCCTGTAACGATTTGATCGACTGACCATAAGTATCGTAGCAATTTAGGCGCTAAGGACGCAGAAAAAATTACCACTTTTCCTGATATTGCTTTTCTGTCTGTCTCGACTTCCTCTTGTGATGTTAGTGACGTGAGAAGTAACATAAATAATCAAATTTTTTTTTATTTTTATTTTTTTCCTGAGCTGATTTTACCCCAAGAACTTTAGAATGTATAAAAGATTAGTAAAAAAAAAAAAACATACTGCTCACGACG